AGTCTATGTTTAACATCGGTCTAAGTTTATTAATTATTAGTTTATCTTTACCAGATATAGGAATTAGGGTAATTAATCCTTCTTTCATGTTAGCAATCAACGTTTTTCTCTCTATACATGAATTTACAGTCCTAAATAGAAGATTTAATTGCATTTTAAAGACCACTGCCTCTAATTCCTCTGGTCTAAATTCTGATTCACACAGATTTTTAAATGACTCTTCAATTTGTGGAATTTTATTTTTGATTTTTTCAAAGACACATTTAGAGTCATCTAATGAGATGTGAGTGGAGTATAAATAGGAAAAAAATAAAATAATTATTTTTCTATAAGCTTACATTATATTCCTCATTATTGATCACCAAAGATGTTAGTGAGTTCTTTTGCTGTCTTCTTTTTTCTAAGCGTCTAAAGTAAGAAGAATTCTTTTCTCCAGATTTGATCCATCTTGCTCTTGATCTGATGACATAACCTGTGTGAGGATCTGTGGTCTTGTGTCTTGTCTGCTGTCTCCCTCTTGTGTTGTTTCATGCCATTACTCTTTCACCTCACTCCTCACTTCTCTCTAGATCATTTCTTCTCACCTGCCTGTTGTTTGTAATCAGTCCTTTCTCAGCTGCAGCTCATCATCTTCATTCATTCTGTGTATTTATACTGGTCTCTTGTCACACGTTTCCTCACTGGTTCATTGTATGGCTTTGTCCTACTGTTGGCTATTCTTGTGTCTCCCTGTGTTCCTTGTGGTTTTGTTATTTTGCTGCCACGTCAGCCCTTTTGTTTTGGTAAATAATAAAACCTTGTATTATTCCTTTGAACCTGCCTGCCTGCGTCTTGGGTTCAACTCATGTGCAAATATAAAGCATCTCATTTAGTTTGTAACTCCATTAAAGTTGGACTATTTGAATCAGAGGAGTTACAAGTCTGATTATTTTCTCTGATTAAATCACATTCGTATTGTTTTCCCTTCTTCCGTAAGTTCTTAGCAGAAATGTATAGTATCTAATCTTATTTTATATTTTAAAAATTCCCATTTATTTATGTAATCTTTGAGTGAGCAGCTTCCACATTCTTGATCATTTTTAAAATTCTAATGCAATATTCTTCGTTGTCTAATAAACTGGCATTAAATTTCCAATAGCCTTTATGTTTTTTTGCCTTTAAACTAGGTCCTATTATTAAACTTATGAAACAATGGTCAGACAGAGGTGCTTTACAGATTGTATTTTTTGTGGTGTGTGACAAAAGATCATCACAACCAACATTCCAATCTGGATCTACACGGTCTCTTAGGTTTTATCCTTGAATATTCAGTAAGCCTTGGGTTCAATGTTCTCCACACATCAGTTAGGTTGTTTTCCATTTTAAAACTATTTACCAATTCAATATATTGTTGTCAGCCTAATCTTGGAGGCTACCTATATATATA